TCTCTATCAAATAAAGGCATGAAAAGGCCAAAAAACAAGTCTATAACTATTCTGGTGGCACCCTCGAGCCTCCGTACAAACAGGTTCGAAAGCATTTTATCTCCAAATTCAAGGTTCAGTTGTTCGGAACGGAGACCGATGAAGCGCTGATCCTCCCCGGAGATCTGGGAAATCACAGAACCGGGAAATATTTAGTTATACAAGTTTAAAACTGGTAAACTGGATTTTGAGTTCCGCTTCTTTAACTGTTTTTTGTGCCACGTCTGATCTCTGCTATCTCTGCCACACATGAACTCTCCTTTCATTTCAGATCCTGCCACCCTGCCCTGCAATAACCCCCTGTGTCCCATCACCTGCTCCTCCCCGAACCCACCTGCACACCTGCTCCCACTTCCTCATTAACCCTTGCAGTATATTTACCACCATCGTCTCACACTGATTCCCAACCTGTTTCCTTCAGGGAGCCATTTTCCGTCACAGAGTCAACTGACTATAATATATATAATATTCAGTAATAACGACAATAACAGAAGAGAACATACAGAGAACACAATAACCTCCTCCCTGACGCTCCCCTTGTTCTATCAGCTCTTTGGTTTTAACTGCAAACTTTGCTAAAATCAAAAAGGCCTTTCAACCTCCCTGTGAACCACTGGTCTATTGTGCTTGATATTTATCAGCCCAGCCTTGTCCCCCTCCCTCCCTCCCTGCCTGCCTGCCTCCCTCCCTGCCTGCCTCCCTCCCTCCCTCTTGGATTTCTCCCTCCCTTTCGTCTGCTTCCCAGCTGGATAAGTTGTCCCCTTTCTCCTGAGTCTGCCTGGTATCGATCCTCATCTCTTAAAACATTTAACAGTTTGTCTTCACATCTTTCTTCAAGCAGTCTTTTAAATGTTGAATTATGATTTGCAGCAGTACCTGATGTGACTGTTTGTTGTTCTACAGAAAAGTCCACAGCTCTCAAAGTCCACCAGACTCTGGATAGACAAGCACTAACAGGTGAGATTAACATGTAGAACCAGAGCTGAAGAAGATTCAGCTGAAGGGAAAGAAAGTGTAAAGATACCGTTGACCTGGAATAACCCTCAGTCTCTGTCTGTGTGATGTGTTTCCAGATGACGCTGCCAGAAGCAGCTGTTCGGCTCTTCTCCTCCTGTCTGTTCTTGTCACGAGTTTCCATATTCTTCGTCTCGTCTGAGAATCTTTCCTCATCACAGATATCTGCTCACAGATATTGACCCTGCAAACTATAACCACAGATAATGGAAATGTTCTCTGTTGTGTCGTCATCGTGTAGCCTGAATAACATTTCAGATGAGCCAGGAGAGCCGTGTGCTGGATCACGTTGAGTTACAGAGCGTGAGGTAAATGGAGGAAATGTTGGTTTTCAGCTTTAGAGTTAGGTGAGTGTGCACAAGTAGAGCAGGTTTCTGACACAATATCTAATATCTAATATAAACTCCAGCAGCACTTTTAGTATAAAGAACAACTTTTTCGTACCGCTGCGTGGTTGCAAGTCGTATAAACGTAGGAAATCTGACAAACTGGGATTTCACTGCTTCCCAATTGATCAGCACCTGAAAAGACTGAAACATCGGGAGGGACATCGGCCATCTTGAAAGGTGAAGCAACATCCAGCCTCTTCGATAGCATTACAGGATAAGACAGAAAAGTATATTTGCTGAAACTTTCACTTTATCCTGACAGAAATACATGAGACAGATACTCTGTTAAAATATCAGGATCCTCTGGCTCGTACTTGTGCTACTTGACGGCATTTACAAGAGTCCCCCGGGCCCGAACGCAAACAACCAATCCGAGCTGAAAGAGCCAGAAAGAGGCTTTCTATCTTTCTCTGCTCTGATTGGTTGTTTTTGTTCAGGCCTGGTGGATTCTTATAGATGCCGTCAAGGAGCACCAAGAGGAGCCAGAGGGACCAGCTCTGTTCACAGATTCTGTCTCAAGTTCTGTCAGGATGAAGTGAAAGTTTCAGTAAATAAAACAAAAAGTTATTTTAATAAAATAACTTTTTGAAGCAACATATTTGACGAGCTGTTAGCATCCAGCCGATTCCTGGCTAACATTACCGTTCGATATCGTTACAGGATAAGACAGAAAAGTAAATTAATTCTAAAGTATCTGCACATTTATTTGAGCCTGGAAGTAAAACAGTCGATGTTCTTGCAACCGACAGAAAACTTAAAAGAACATCAACCTGAAACACGCTGGATGGAACTTTAATCCCGTTGCAATGTCGCTGTCTCTTTACTAGACCTCAGAAATGTTACGGTTGGCGTTAAGTCAGTAACATCATGTGACATTATGCTTACTGGAACCCATATTTCTGTTTAATGTTAATACCACACGAAAAAACTAAAATGCTTTGAACTCATTGTGTTGTATTAACCTTACACAGAAATATTGGTTCCAGTGAGTTAATGTCACATATTGTTACTGACTTAAAGCTGCAGTATTTACTTTTATACAAATATTTTTTTGTTTTTATTTGCTGGAACTTTCACTATTTCCTGACAGAAATACACGAGACAGAGATCTGTTAAAATATCAGGATCCTCTGGCTCGTACTTGCGCTCCTTGACGGCATTTACAAGAGTCCCCCGGGCCCGAACGCAAACAACCAATCCGAGCTGAAAGAGCCAGAAAGAGGCTTTGGGTTGGCGGCTTGATGATAGATTGTTTAGAGCTTCATTCACAGGGTGTCAAAGCATCTGTATTTGACTTCCTGAGAATGAGACTCAGCAATCACTCATCATCAAGCCTCCAAGCAAAGCGTCTTTCTATCTTTCTCTGCTCTGATTGGTTGTTTTTGTTCGGTCCCGGTGGATTCCTATAGATGCCGTTAGGAGCACCAAGAGGAGCCAGAGGGACCAGATCCGTTCACAGATTATCTGTCTCATGTTCATGTCAGGAGGAAGTGACGTTTCAGCAAAATAAAAACAAAGAAGTTTTTAATAAAAGTTAACGCTGGGCCAGCTTAAACCCAGAAATGTTCTACCCAGTCGGGCCATATTGCAAACTGAAAGCAAGCAAATTGACAGAGTCTTTAGCATCCCCGGCCGCTTCCATGGCTACATACTGTTCTCGATAGTCGTTACAGAACAGACGGAAAAGTAAATTAATTCTAAAAATACGCACAATTTACTTTTGAGCGTGAAAGTAAAACAGTTCCCCCAAAATTTGGGTTTCCTTTTGGGGCAAAAAACCCGAGCAGATTTTTGTTTTTAAAAAACCGCGTCTGAAAACTAAAGAAACATGCGACCTGAAACATGCCTCGATGGAAGCTTTAATCACGTTGAAATGTCACAGTCTCGGCGCACGGTCGGGAGGCGCGCGCGGGCAGGACCGCGCCGGGCCGCGGGTGGCCAGCGCGCGCGTGTGCGACCCGCGACGGCGGCGGCCGGCGGCCGCCCGCGCTTCGCGCCGGCCCGGCCCCCAGGCGGCTGCGGCGGGGCGGGGAGCGATCCGGCCCGCTGCCCTGAGGACAGCCCCATCATCCAAGGACTCAAGCAAAGCGTCTTTCTATCTTCTCTGCTCTGATTGTTTGTTTTTGTTCGGTCCCGGTGATTCCTGATAGATGCCGTTAGGAGCCACGAAAGAGGAGCCAGAGGGACCAAGATCCGTTCACAGATTAATCTGTCTCATGTTCGTCAAAGGAAGTGAACGTTTCAGCAAATAAAACTAAAAGTTATTTGAATAAAAGTTACCTGCTGCAGCTTTAACCAGAACGTTTCTACAGTCGGTTGAAGAGACAATAAAATAATGTTAAATTAAAAGCTTTATTACATCCAGATTTACTGTCAGGCTTAAATAAACGTGTCCAAGATGTTTCAGAATTAATTTACAGCTTTCCCATCATATTGTGTAACGATATCAAAAAGTAATGTTTACACCGGTGTACGATACGTATCACTATACAGCAGTTACAATTAAATATATTCCAATCTAAGAAAAATACAATTTTAGAAATATTTGTATAACATCGAACATCATAACTCTCCGTTTACAACTCATATGTTGTGTTTGAGGGTTTAACCACAATGTGCTTTTTAAATCTGACACACTATCACAGAACAACATCAACATCTAATGGATCTGTTGTTTTATTTTGAAATATGGCCTCGATGTCCCGGCGGATCCGTTGGGAGATGGTGAAATTATGATTTTGTCAGATTTCTTCTGTTTACACGACTCGCAACCTGGACAGGGCAAATAGAAAATGTCGACCATGTGAATACATGTCAGCTGTCAACTGTCAGACAATGCGTCGGGACGTCAAACAACACTTTACAAATAACGTTTAGAAATTTTCTTCATTTATAATTTAAATGTTATTTGTATTATGTTTTATGACCCCAGTAACTCATTCTGTGTATAAAGTTGTTCTTTACAAGTGTTGCTGGAGTTTCAACCTCCTGAGATGTAGATCAGCACATTAACAAAACTATTTCCACTGGAGCTAAACTGGAGTCACCTAGTTTAGCACTGGCAGACTGGAAGCAGAGGGAAACGGTTAGCCCGGCTCTGTCTGATGTTCAGCCATTTAATTAACATTTATAACATATTATGGCCCATATTCAATCATACGAGTATTTTATTTAGGATGGATTTTGTAATAAATAAGAAAACATAAGAGTTGGAGAGTGTGGAGACTTCAAAGCTTAAAAATGTGAACAAATTGTGTTTTTTTAAATCTGATATTTGAAGGAAAAAGAAAATAATAACAAAAACAACAACTGCCAGCATGTAAACTGTGAGTGTGGACAGTGACTTAAGTGTGTTTTTATGGGAATTAAAGAAAGTGTTGTTTTCATCAAGTTTTGCACAAAATTGAAATACTTCAGACACACTTCAGTGACCTCATTTTATATATATTGTTTATTTACTGACTTTTATTCAACACACAAATTCTAAAAATGAATATGAAATAATTCAAATGATACATAAACATGAGAAGAATACACCCAATGTGACGGAGTGAATTAACAATAATTGTATTTACTTTACAAATGTACCTAAAACACAATAAAGTAAAGACAAAGTAAGAATATGGACAAAATAGCTGATTAAAAGTTCTGGTTGTATTAATATGTTATTTACTCCGTGATAAACACATTGTTTACTGTCTCTCCAACCAGGAAGCTGTCATCGTTTTCTTTGATATTAAAAGCTGAATATTAATTAAATCTAATGGGAGCTGGTTTGGATTGTTAAACTGTAAATATAAAGCTTCATGTTCATATAGATCTACTCTTACTTTACATTCTAACTAAAGTGGTATTTTCACACATTTTAACCCATTAAAAACAAATAACATTAAATAATTCTGATATATTTCATGTTCATACAAATCAGTCTGATCCATATATTGTGTGGTTATCGGGATTTTAGCTGTGCTGTGATCTTCTGTTGCAATCAGTATTTAATTCATATTGTTTATTGTTTATATGTGTAATGTGATGGCTGTGATGTGATTTATCAAAGTTAGTTTGTATTTACACCTGAAATAAAACAAAGACATAAAAATAAAAGAAGCAAACACAATCATGTTGTATTACCTTTACTGTGAAACTCTACAGACGGTTATAAGTTCACAACACGATGAACTGATGATTCAAAGAGAGAAAGGCACAAAGCAACTTTAAGAGTGAGAGAGTGAATCTTTAAAGGGTCAGTCTGGAGATATTCTGCATTTATACATTATTACAATGAACACATTCACCGTCCTGCTGCCCTAAATACTCACCACAGCACTGAATGTGGATTCATCCGCCGCTGAAAATAGTCCCTAACAAATAGAACATTTCCTGTTTGTTTGATAAAAACCTTTTTTAAACATGAATTTATATATTTGAGATGAGTTTTTAAAGGTTTACGTGTTCAGTAGGAACCAGAGGGTTCGGGGCCGAGAGCCACAGACAGGAAGTGAAAGTATTGACGACACATTGATAGTTTCGGTGTTGGTTTTGTGCGACTGGTGATGAAGAATAAACATACAGAATATCTTCAGCTTCATCCTTTAATGGGCAGTCTCACCTTTAAGTAATGAGTTCACAAGAGCTTCTCTCCCATGAGTGTTAAACATCAAATTAAATAAAAACAAACAACGTCAACAAATTAAACTTCTGTATATTTTCATCATGAAATGATTGAATAAACATTTTACACTTCTGTTTTTATTTGTTTTAAAAGTTATAATCCTTCAGAATCACTGTTTATGTTTAACTTCTTTCTCTCTCTCTCTCTGGTAGTTTTCATTGTCGGTGGCAGGGTCTGCCGCTCCTGGTCCTGGATTCATGTCGCCTTCACACAAGAGACTGACAGGAATGTTTTAATCCGGTTCTATTGTTTGTTATTTGATCCCTAACGAAGCTGCAACCTCCATCGCTGCAGTTCCTCTATCGGCCTCTAGAGGCTGCAGCAGTGAGTCTCCATAAGGCTCCATAATAAAATGTTCAACAGCAGAAATAAACATGTTTACTTTTAGTGTCTAGAGCTAAAATCCACCTATGAGGGACTTAACCGAGATTACATCCAGTTTTAATGATTCAGTCAATGTTGCCTGTTTTTACTGTTCACTCTCATGCAGACGTGTCAGAGCAGAGTATTAAGCTAATGCTAATGCTACACAACGTTCCCTACTGCTGCTGCTTCACACTAAAATACTTCAACTGGCTTTTATTGTGAAACCACCACAGGAGTCAGAGTACGACTGCACAGACGGAGGTTGCTCCTGGCGTGATGGAAAAAGGCGATTTATTGACCGACGACTTTATTTATTTATTAAAACTTTTTTTTTTCGGCTGCACAATAAACAGAAATCTGAAGGATTATTACGGAATATTTAAGTGAATCTGTGTTACAGGTGAACACTGTTAGCGTTAATGTCTGCTGATGTTTTAATGCAAAGTGGAAAATAAAAGGACTTCGTATCCATCGAGGACATCGGCTCGCGTCTCCGTGTCGAACCTTTCCGATCTGTTCTTCTGGAGGGAAAACAAACTCGTGTTCTTCAGCTGAGAGGGGACGAAGACCTCCAGACCTTTCGGATGTGTTCACGCTCCGGTTTCAAACACGAGCAGCCGGTTAGAAGTTGGGTTTGTGCTTCTTCACCTCCACCATGAGGTGGTGCAGGTTGATGAGCTCGGAGCGGACGGCCAGGCTGCGGAACGTCGGCTGGTTCAGGATCTTGTGGAAGCCGTGGTAGTACTGGATCAGCTGGGTCAGAGCGCCCTGCGGCGGGAAGAGGAAGAGGTTATGACATCACACACACACACACACACACACAGGAATGACCCCGAATATGAAACGAACAGATCATTTTCTTTTTTCTTTAAATTAAATAAATTAGGAAAGAAAGCCGTGAAAGTAAACACAGCGACGTCGTGCAGTGCGTCTGTGGACAGGTCTGGTTCTGTATATTGGTTCATCTCAAGGGGCTTCATCCTTCCAACAAACGCCTCTACAGCGGTGGGCCGCCATGGGGGGGGTCGTTTAGTAGTAACTGAGTAACAAGTGATGAGTAATAGATTACTGTTTTAGAGTGAGGACGTTGCTGCCGTCTCACCTGTATGATGCTCGTTCCATTTTTGAAGTTGGTGAAGGACCTCATAACGTCCTGACTCATCGCCTCAACCGACTGTTTCCACGTACTGGAAAACCCCCGAACCAGCTGAGTGATACGGGCTGCGCGCGCACACACACACACACTTGGTTAATTTCATGTTTTCCAGGCTAAGAAAATACTGGCAAAATAAAAAAATCACAATAAAATACATCTATTTTCAAAATACAGGAAAATAATAATAATGATAATAATAAAGAACAGGAATCAAACACGAGGAACCATCAATATTCATCAATAACAATGTACAGAATAATCAATAAACACTATAACACTAAAACTAACTATATTTCTGCCTTCCTGACATTCTTCTATCTAACCTTTTATTCAGTTTTATCTTTTATTCTAATTAACGTCTGAGGGCCTCGGGGCCCCCGTGAGGCACAAAGGGGGGTTACGAGGTCAGATCGAGTTCGGGGCCGACACGTTCAAAGTAATCATTCTAAAATCTAAAATACGTCACATTTGTACAACATTCATTTTTCATAATAAAAGCTTCAGTGAGTTTAAATGCTTCAGGGAAAACTGAAATGGTTTTTACAGTGTGAAGAAACTCAAAGACCCAAAACTTCTATTAGTAGCCTTTAAGAACAAAAAAACATTCTTTCAAATTAAAAGCCTTCTAGTGTTTCATACATGGTAAAACATTTTTAGATTTTGGAATATTTTAAAAACTAAATCACTGAAGTTTCCTGCTGAGAAATATATTGGATGGGTTTTTTTTTGTCAACTGTCAGTTAGAAAATACTGAAAAGTAATTGAATTGTGTGACTTCCTCTCCCCGTGTACGTGTACAGTTGGCGCGAGAGGAAAGGATGTGGGGAAGCTGATGTGGTGAGTTTGTGCAGAAATTCTATCGTCTTGAGACTTTTGGAGGAAAACAAAACTGCTCATTACTCAGTAAAACAGAACTAAAGCCTGAGCTCAAAGTCTGACCGCTGGGCGTGGAGCCACACAGGAAACAGAGTGCAGTCTGTTCTCGCCATCAGCGGCAGTAAAAAGGTCATTTAGAGACTCTGGCTTAGTTTACACACACAAATATAAAGTCGTTATTATTATATTTAGACATAAAGTTGTAAATAAAATGTACATTAAAAAAGATTCAGGTAAGAAAGAGAAACTGAAACTCCTCTCACCTTCCTCATTCTTCAGCCGGTCCAGCTGCCCTTTCTCCATCAACGCCTCGGCCTCCTTCACAAAGGCAATCATTCCTCCGAAGGGCGGAGACAGGATCTCCTCGATGAACTCCTAAAATAAAAACCCATCAGAGACAGTTGTGGTAAAACACCGAGCTGTGTGAGCTGCCGCTGGCGTGCTAAAGCAGAAGAGTCCCAGTGACTCCGTGATCCTGACCGACCGGCTCCTGATTGTTGTTGAACGGATATTTTAGATATTACAGTGCGCAGTTCAGGTACATTAAAGTACATATGCAGTGAAATAGCTCTGTATTACATCACAGGG